GGCAAGCCATAAACGAACAAACGAACGGCGCATCGGCCTTTATTTCCGTTACTTCAGTTAATGGCAGAGTTAATACATTAAAGTTCAAGTCTTACAGTATTACAGGAAAAACAGATGAACGGACTGTGAAACTTACCTGTTTGCCTTACAGCCGCAGTTTGCGGGACATTGGGAAATAACTGCAGCAGCGGTCACTTTGGTAAGCGCAAAACAGTTAAGTTTTCTTATACAGTGTAGCACATGATTAAAATGCAATAATACATTGTAGACCAATGTTTTCAGATTTAGTTCTCCATCTTGAAGCATCTCGACTACTCTATGACCGCCCTGGAAATAAGTGTTTCCTTGTCAGTAGTCTTCTTTTTCCTCCCCTCTCAGCAAACTGAAGTAAATTTTGAACTTCGACTGAAATTCGGGTTCTGGGAGTAACAAATTTCTTAGTGACAACTTACATTATTTTTAGCAAATCCGATTTCTACACAACATAGACAATGAAGAGATCGATTTTAAGTAACTGACAAATACAAGATGCTTTGGAAACTAAACAACCAAACGGTATTCCGATAAAAATACTAAATAAATAAATAAATGAATGAATGAATGAATGAATGAATGAATGAATGAATGAATAAATGAATGAATGAATACCTTTCCTTATGTCATTTCTCTGAAAGAAAAACCAAGGATGACTTCCTTTCCAAGCGAAGATATCATCTCAGCTCCTTACGGCTCTAATGTGACAGTGGAGTGTAGAGCGGCTGGTTTTCCAAGGCCTTCCATCACGCTGGTTATTAATGGTGTGAGTATGTACACATCTGCTGCTGGACTTGCAGTCATGGCACCTTATGAAGCTATCCTGACATATGTTGTCAAAATGTCGTCTGACGTGGAATGTCACATTTCCAATAGATTGGGCAGCAGCTTTTCGAGAATGAGAATTAATCTAAAAGGTATTTCCTTTATTTTGTGTTGGTGATTTGTAACCGACTGCCAAACAACGAGTGGCGTGTAAATGAGTGGCGATGTCCCATTCCCTCTTCTTGACTCTTTCAAATCTCTCATTTGGATATGTGCAATTTACATTGTCCTTACTTAATACAGCGGCGCTGTAAATATTTATTATTATAATTTATTCTCGCATTTTGATTGGTTCTCACTTATAATCATTTGGAGGACAGACATATAGATGACGTCATTAACATTTGTTCTTGTTTCTTTGTTATATAAAACAGAAAGATTCCATGTCGCTGAGGAAGATCACAGAAGACGTCAAAGTGTGGTAACAACATCAATGAGACACTCGGCTATCGCCTTGTGTGCCACGTTTTTGTTCTTACCTTACCACATTTTGACGCCATCTGTGATCAATCACTGAATAGACGCACAGCAACATGGAATCTGTTTGTTAATTCAACACTCTTATCAACTTGTCTTTTTAAAATAACTCATTCATGTTAGAAAGATTTCATTATCTTTTGCAGATGATGACTCGGTATACCTGAAGGCGGTTTTGAGACTACGTGACAAGACATTCACGCCTGATCTCAGTGATCTTTTATCTAACCGATCCAGGTCACTGGCAGCTCTTTTAGAAGGAGAGCTGATGCGTCTATATAAGGGAGTCCCTGACGTCAGAGATGTGAATGTTGTTGCCTTCAGGTGCGTCCGCTCTTCTTGTCATTTCAGTAATAATTACCTTGTTCAACTCCGTGATTGAAATTATTGTTATTGCTGTAGGTTCCTTTTAGCGTTTATATAAGGCTTAAATGGCACAGCATGTTTTGTCTTCAGTTTGGTAATTTTATCCAGTCTGTCATTTTTGCGCTTGACATTATTGAGATTAGAAAATTAACCACTATAGCATGAGTCGGTCGAGCCCGATGAGGATTTATGATTTTTCTGCGCCCCAAGTTCAGTTATTTTCACCCATCTTACTCGTAGAGCAACGATTTATCGTTTGGTCGATAAATCCACTGCTTTGGATAAAATGCTTTATGGTTTTGTGTCCGTCAACAATAGCAGGTACAAGAACAGTTTAATGAAGCTTACGACATGTTACAACTCTCATCTAATGAGAGAACAGGCCAAGTAGACTAAATTTTACTTTGTCCATTTCATTCCAAAAATTCCTTTGATACCACGTTTGCTCCTCAAAACTTAGCTAAGCCAAACCCGGCATACTCAATTGATCAGTTCATGTAATAGGGTCGGAAAACCATGCATTCCAATTAACAAGTTTAGATTATGAACTCGAAATTTCTCCGAGGTGACAGTAGGCCGGATAAGCAATTACCCTACGGACATCGAGAGCGAATAATCAATTTTCTTTTCGTGTAATTCTAACCATTTAGAAAATTTCCTTCAAGAAACAAAAACATTTTAAATTTCTCTTCGTAGCATTAACTACTCCACCGATACATTAGCAAAATCGGGTGGACTAAATTGTCACTGGAAACTAGCAGTTGTGTTCGTGCACAACTGTCAATTTCCTTTCCTTCAGTCTTCTTGGGAATAGAATTATCCAGTGTTTCTAAATACTCATCGAAACATCAGAGAAACGAGAAAACGTTGTCATTATGTGGATGAGCTGCAGCCACTGTACACTAATGGCTGATAGTTTGCGATAGTCGGCAAATCAGATTGTACCATTTGCATTAGTATATTAGTGGAATTCTACTGATGTCTAGTATATACAACTTATTTTCAATAGAATTGCGACATCTTTGTCTTAGAAAGCCTGTTGCTAAATCTGTTGGAAATTTGGTTTCACATTAATTATTCACAATTTTTCTCTGACATACATTTCACCATTTACTAAAGGGAAGGAAGTGTTGTAGCAGATATTCTCATCCATACTGTTCAAGGAAGTTCGTCAGCTGTTAAAGACGTCCTCACAGAAGCTGTAAAATCAGAACAGTTTATGAAGAATGTAGCACTTGACTCATTTGGGGATATAAAAGGTGAGTAAAAGACGATAGCTCTACCTTGTTTCTCGGGTAGATAAAAATTAAATCTGTATTTTTTTCTACACCGCTACCCTATTATGGTAAAAGAGCAGATCGTTCAAAATACAGAAACTTCCTGTCTTTGTCGGAGTCTCAGTGACCTCTCTTGGCATGTTGATTAGATCAGGCTCGCAAAGCAAAACATGAGCGTTCAAAAAGAAAGAAGGTTGACCTTTTCCTTTTAACAGGCCTTTCCACCTTCCTTCTACCCTAAGGAACGAAACATGTCTACAACTAAGGTAAAAAAAGGTGGAAACCTTCGAACTTGTATTATTAGTGCTGAGAATCAGTAGAAGTAGTTAATTCAGTAATAGCACTGGAAGTAGTTGCAAATGGCAGTGCTTCGAAGAATAAAAGCCATTCAAGCCCCTAACACAGGTGACTCCAGGTACATCTTGGCATGAGCTAGTCGGTCGTGCTGTAACTGTCCAACAGTTGTATTGAAAATTTAGTATCTTTTATTAATATTTCTGCGGTCTCTTTTAATAGCCTGTCCGAAGGAATTTTTCAACGTGTCTTGGGTTGGCACCTTTGAAGGAGAATACGCCATACAGGGTTGTCCCAGAGGAGCGGCAGGTAAGCCAACGGAGCGACGATACGGTAAAGTTTGCATTGGGCAAAGGGTCGCAAGGGTGTCTCATACGACTGGAGGTCATCTCTCATTTCCATAGCATGAAGTGATTAGATTTCTACTTTCCTCTGGATGGGATGTTAGTCCACCGCAGGGTTACACCCCAGCATTTATACACCTGAGTGGAGAGAGGCACTGCGAGAGTAAAATGTCTTTCCCGAGAACACAACACAACCAGACTGCCCGATCAAGAGTCCAACGGGCTATCCGTTAGGCCACCACGGACGACATTAAAACCAAACAAACAAACAAACAAACAAACAAACAAACAAACAAACCGTCAAATCAAGAAATGTTGGATTTTTTCCTTCTTATTCGATTCGTTACACTTCAGAGCGAAAAAAGCAGAAAACACCAGCAACGTGTATAACCTTGCCAGAGAAAATAGATATAAACACAGACCTGTATTATGCAGTATGATTTATAGCGATAATTGCTACTTGTTGTTTTTCTTTTTGTAGGCGCTGCTAAGCGAAAGTGTTTAGAGAATGGTGTATGGGGATATCCTGACTACGGAGGATGCACTAACAAAGAATTCAATCTACTGCAAGAAAAGGTTTGGCTGCATTACCATCTTTTTGTATTTGTGCTTTATAGAGGTTTGACTGCATTAATTAGCGTTTATCCTTTCGCTAGATGAATGGCCTGTTCAACTCATCCCGTCCCTCAAACGAAGAAATCTCCATGATTATTACTGAACTGTCCTCTCTTACAAGGCCGAAGAAATATGATGCTGTGATGGCTGGAAATATCAAAATATCAACTCAAATATTACAAAGTGTTGTCGATTTCAACAAAAAGTTCTCCAATAGCCGTGAAGTTGTGTCATCAAACGTGGAGGCAAGTATATGGAATAAACTCGGTTGGCCCAAAAAACTTTAGTTTAGCCTTCAGGATTCTAACACCCTTGTACTTTGTAGATTATCGAGCGGGTTAGATGAATCAAATCCTGCATTGCGATTGGCTATCCGAGGGGGAAGATGGGATTATCTTGCCCGCTTGAGATTGCCCGACGTATCCTGGGCAAAAACTGCGTCCTGTACGCCAAACAATGAATCCTTTATGGACCAAACCTGGTCGATCAAGATGACTTTCACAGACATCGCTTGTTCTTTTTTTCTCCTGTTCATGGACCTAGCCTGAGAATAGGCTCACGTTTGGGAAGCACACGTGCGCGTGAGCGGCGAAGCCGAGGCAGACTACTTCTTGGCTCGCGTGTGTGACTCAAGGGTGACTACGTCTCATGTACGTCCATATAAAACGGGCAAAAAAGAACTTGGAGAACATCCAGCGATCTCGAACTCCCGCCTGGTTTTCTTTAATACTAAAAACACGAAAACAGAGTGAAATACCGAAATGTTTGGAGTAAATTAGGTGATATCAGTTTTTTTGGTAATCGTCAGTTTTTCTTTATGTGAATTCAATTCATGTGTAACAACCGCGAGATTGTACGTTTGCACGTCATCGTATACACAGCACAATAACCTTCGGCCTTACGAGTCTATTACACATAACTATTCTTGCCAGGCGTATTTTAATATTTTTGTTTTCTTTTATCAGGGATTTCTTCAGACTGTCAGCAACCTTTTTGATGAGAACAATTTAAGAGACTTTACTCAGCTTCAAAAGGTATACTTGGACTCTTTTTTGATCCTTTCAATTTTAGTATCCCCAGCTGACAATGTTTTGAAGTTCATTGTAAATTTAATCGTCGTAATTAGGCAGACATTGATTCACGTTTACTGAGGTTGGCTAAAAATCCCGCAAGGATCGCAACAAATGGCCTGGCAGATAACCTGACAGATGCTATTGTTACTATTACTACCTATTCCGATTGGATTTTTACATACTTTACGGTACTAAGAAAAGATAAAGGGTAAGAGAGTATATTCCTAAGGTAATTCCCCTCAGGTTATGTTTAGACAACTTTCGGCTTCAGAAATCTAGGGAGGGTCTAGAAATAGCCAATCCTGTAATGCGAATTTTACTCACGCGGACAGCGTAGGCGGCTTTACACGCAATTTCACTCTTCAAGAAAACATTTACGCAACACACATGGTAACATTATCCATGTCTAAAAATAACTTGAGAGGATTGCCTTTAGAATAGGTCTTATACGAGGGATTAATTACCTTACCCTTCTTCCTCTCTTAACTGCAATGTAATAGATAAGAACGGCATGATAATTACAGCGACCCAGTCATGTTAACGCAAGGACTGTCTATTAATTTAGTAGACACCAGTAGGACATCTTCATTAGATAGCAGCTACAATAAAGCTCATCCACCAAGGATTGCCTTCATTTGCATCTTCTTGAAGTCTGATTGTCACTTCTTGTTTCCAGACTGATAGCACTGCTACCGACTTAACCAAAATAACAGAAGACTATGGACTTCAAGCAGCTGCTGGACTAACGAAGGAAGATGATAAGCATATTTGGCTGCAAGATAACATAGGTACCTACACTTCTACAAGGAAACCCGAAAAGATCGCTTAAACATTAACTTGATATAGCGTAAATGCATAAGATTTGACTTTTCCGAGCATTTTTCGTGTACACCATCGTAACATGTAAAATGCTCGTAACATGATATGGTTTGTTGCACTTCTCTTTCCTACAGCAATGGAAGCAAAACTCGTCTCTAACAATGTCCAAGGTTCTCTGGTGTTTCCCAGCGATCAAGATGACACTCTATTGTCATCAATTTGGATAAAGAGTGGAAAACAGTACATAAAATTGCCTAAGGAATTGTTCAACAGAGAGAGCAGTCCATCGAGCAATGGTAAGACTTCGAACTTTCGATTTCCAGTCGTTACTGTTCCTTTTTTTTCTTTATTTCTTATATGACAGGCAAAAAAATCCTTCAATGTGATTGGCTGAGAGAAGGCCAATTTAACGTCAATTATTAATCTGCATTGCCGGGAAAATTAATATCGGCCAGCGTAATTTAGTCAGTCATATGATAAATAAGTAATCTCATGAAAGCCCGAGAAATTAAGGATTAACACTACTCGTGATATTTGCACTTGCCTTAAGACTTGGACAGTTTTGACAGGATTTTCAAATTTCACTCGTAGTTTTGATTCTTAATCGCATTCATGCGATGACCTATACTAATTCTGAAATAAACCTAACCTTTTTTTTATTTCTCCAAATATCCAGGAACAAGAGTGACTAGCATTCTATTCAGAACATTAGCATCATTTTTGACACAAGAGAGGTACTACAAAGATCATTGTCATGTCTAACAAATCATATTTATGTAAAGATTATTTTAAGCTTTTTTGTGAATAAATCATTTTTTCTTCTCATTGCCTTCAGTGCATACGAGCAAGTTGGTAGGCAGTTCCAAATCGAGTCACGCATCATTTCAAGCTCAGTAAAGCCGCCTCCCGGTAAACTGGTTAAACCTGTTACTATTGTTTTTGGCGGTGTTAAGGTAATCAGTTTCTTTACTGGCTTAAGTCGTGATCGTTGAATAAAAAATTTAGTCCCAGAATAGATCAGAATACACTGCGTAAATTTTGTTAATGTCGAAAATTCCAAAATTCTAATAAAAGAGAGAAATCACTCGATAAAGCCCAAGTATATTACCCAAGTTTTTTTTAGACGTTTAAGCGAGGGCTATAACAATAAAGTGGGAGGCGCGGTTGCCTCATGGTTAGTGCGCTCTTTTCCGGATCAAGCGGTCCGGGTTTGAGCCCTGGCCGGGGACATTGCGTTGTGTTCTTGGGCAAGACACGTTACTCTCAC